ATAGGCCCATAGTTACTATTGAAGTTGAATAGGAAGTCATATACTGGCAATTAACTGTGACCTTGGAATTGACCTTTGACCTACCTTACGATGAACTTAACTTTGATTGTACCATTTTTAGTTATATACATATTTTTTGCATATTTTGAAAATTCTTATTGATTGCATTTTTACAGCTTGTCAAGCACAAGACTGGTGGCTGTGTTCCTTATTTTGTGTATGTGGGGGTCTATACGAATGCGCTTGCTCCAGCTGGTGGTACAATATTCGGAGGCGGTATCGCCTCTCTGATCCTCTAGTTATGTCTTGTGTGTGAAGATTCCCATGATACTTTTTTGTAGACATTTATTTTATAGTGTATATTTGGACTTAAACAAAATAATTGTAGATCATAGTTTTCTCTTTGTTTTCTTTTCTTTTTACAATGTTTGGATATCCATCCGCACATTAAACAGTAAAATGTTTGTGAAAAAATAGGTTGTTCTGTTATACATTTTAAAGAAATGAATGTAAAAAAACTGGTTGCCTAATATTACTTTTCCCTTTTAAGTCACAGAAACTTCTCTATTATTTTCTATCTGTTATAGGGTGTCTCAGAACAAATATAACAATTCAGGTCACAGAAACTTCTCAACTGCTTTTTGCATCTGACAGGGTGTCTCAGAATACATATAACATTTCAAGCCACAGAAACCTACTGCTCACTCCTCTTACAGGGTGTGTCAGAATACATATAACATTTCAAGCCACAAAAACCTACTGCTCACTTCTCTTACAGGGTGTCTCAGAATACATATAACATTTCAAGCCACAGAAACCTACTGCTCACTTCTCTTACAGGGTGTCTCAGAATACATATAACATTTCAAGCCACAGAAACCTACTGCTCATTTCTCTTACAGGGTGTCTCAGAAGCATGCAGTGAACCTGATGACAGTGTCCAATGTTGGGGTGTGCTTTGGGCCCACACTGATGAGGCCGGAGGAGGAGACAGTGGCAGCTATCATGGATATCAAGTTCTGTAACATTGTGGTAGAAATTCTTATTGAGAACTATGACTTGGTAAGTCGAGATAGGATTATTGTTTACACTATAAGAACATGGAGTTTAGATCTTTGATGTTGTATAAAGTTAAAATTGGTATGGTTTTGAGAGAAAAGAACAGAGTGGTCTAGCTACACAGCAACCATTGAATCTTAGAAATGAGCTTTCAGGTGGATGATTTTTGTTTTGTAAATATTTTACCTTAAATATTTATTATTTACATTCTATATACATACTTTAGCTATGATTTATCATATTATGTTGTATTACATTTCAACAGCCTTTTTTATTGTACAATCTAACTGTTCTTAGCTACAAGAAATGATAGAGACATTAATAATGATAATGATTCTTCTTCTTCTTATTATTATTATTATTATTTTCCTCCTGCAGATATTTGGAGGTTCACCAGACCAGGCAGAGAACGGACCAGCCAGCCAGGTTCCAGAGAGTCCTAGAAGGTCTCTCCCAGTGCCTGAGCATGTCCAGTCACCCACTAGCTTGGCGCCAGGTAGGGGACATCAAGGTTTATTATACTATCTTGTGTATTTTAAAACTGTCCTCTTTAGGCTGGTTTAAAATTTAAATGATTCGGGGTCTAAATGCTTGTGGGATAACCAAATTACGTTACAAGGCCCAGAAGGGTATATTTGAAGTCCTGCCCATAGAAACACAGGCTGCACCTTATATTTCTTTTTTCAAGTTTGAAAACTTTCCAACTTGGCCAATGGTCAAAACAGAGGATGTTTTATGAAGGTGTACCTTTGTAGTCATTTTCAGAAAGTATTTTGTTTAATGAATCATGAGGAAGAGTTTTAGCTGTTGTACTTTGAAATAATTATATAATATAAAGAATCTCTATCTAAGAAGTTTTGCAGTACAAATCACAGCAATCAGTTTCAGTGCAGCATGGCTTTTGCTTAAACAACTACAGTGTCATGTGTACAGACCGTGTGCTTAATTTTAAGGCAGTTCACTAACAGTTAACCTGGTTTGGCATGTTGGAAATTTTGGCACTCTTTCCTAGTGTAAATGTTTGAACAAACCTGTTTGAGAATTTCAAGATTATTTCCCCTTTTCTCAAAAAAGCCCACTTCAGCTAATATTTTGCGGTTTGAAAATCCTCTTTGAGCTATACCCTTTCTCTCATTTTCACCAAGAAAAATAATGAATATCTTAAGTAAATGAGTGAAAAAAAATCCCAAATTCCCCAATGACATATGAAAGTTGGAAACATGTAGCAAAGTTAAGTGAAGCCATTCATAGTACAGTTGTTATATTTAAAGGTGGGTATGATACACACAATGCTTCCATTAACCAGCTTTATGTTTAGCTGCAGTTCGTTTTCCCCTTTCCCCACCAGGTGGCCCCACATCTCCAGGGAGAAACTACGCAAACTTGGATAACAATGTGAACAACAATTCTTCTGGCTACAAAGGTCTTGACGCGGGGCAGACATATGCTCAATACAGGAGCCGGCTGCGGCCGGTCGCCATTTATAATCCTGGAACTCCTGGTAGGTGGCACTAAGTATAGCAGATCAAGCCTGTTTTTCGTGTATTGTTCGATATGCTTAACGTACTGTAAGTGTATTAAAGGTGACATTCCTCTGCATTACTGGTCTTTGTAGCTCTCTGGGAAAATGAAAACTGGGGTCTGTTTCACTCAAAAGTCCGAAGTCACTTCTTGGTCTAAAACCATACACTGGTACTAAGACTTAACTGTCTAAGTTGCATTTCTCAGAGAATCTTAAAGGCAGCTTATTAAGTGAGTTATTCAGTCTGTAAAAATTGATTGACTTTTCAAAGGTATTAACTTTTAGTGATGACTTTAGCTCATTTAGGAATGTCAAATACTTTTCCTGTGTTTCAATCACTCTTTTGCACCCTTATATTATTGACCAGAAGGGCAAGTTCGAATTTTGAATAAATAATTATTTAAGCAGTCTAAGCTTAACCCAAGAACAGTGAACATTTTGTGAAAAGGGCCTCAGGTAGAGATTCTTACATAGAACTGGGCATTGAGGGTGATATTTCCTTTATGTATGGAAGGCATTAAGTTCTTACAAATAGCACAATCATTGGAATGGTAAAACAGTTCAGAGGTTGTATTTATTGTGTTGTATTGTTTTTGTATCTATAAATTGAAGCATTTGGTTATCATCTTGTCACTGCATCTGTTGCAATATTCTTTCCTTAGTGAAAAATGCATTCATTTGGTTATAAAATCTTAGCAAAGCAACCCATTGTCAACAAATAGGTGATAATTTAGAACAAATTACATGTCATGTGGTTTTTCATCACCCATAGCCAACATAAATTGTCTTTTAAATTAAGAAGATATTTTCTAATGTTCATGTGAGCCTAGAAAATTTGTATATTGCACCATTTTTTGATGTGTTCTAAGTAGAGCCTTTTATTATTATTAAGCAGCGAGATGGAAAAGCCCAGGCAGCAGTAAGTATAAGGGCTATGGGAACATCAATCCTACAGGAGTCATGGACAGGGGTGTCCACATGGTCGTGAACACTGTATTTGATTTGGAAATACTCTGTATTTGATTTGGAAATACTCTGTTCTTGGGAGACCAGGATATGGGTTTGAGTACAAGTTAACTTCATAAAATATCTAGACTTAAAAATAATAGAATAATATCAATACTTTTGAGGGACTGACAAAAAGTTTGGCCATTTTATACAGTAACTTGAGACTACATACTATTTGGGATGTTGGCTTGAAGACAAATGAATATATCATGATGGACACCCCTGTGGATTCTAGTATACATGTCAGGTAGTAGATATATCTTATAAAAACAATTCTAGGCCAGCTTACTACATGTGCAGGGATATGGATTTGTCAAAAGAAATGGATAAGATTGAGTAATTAATATGATAATGTTGAGGTGTAAATATTTGAGAAAAAAATGACATTATTGTTGCTGTGGTAAGTTAAATAGATTGTATGATAATTGGTTGCAAGACAGGATTGAATTCAAGATTTATAATGTCCAGCTATATTAACTGACTTTTTTTTCTGCACTTTGATGACCTTAATTCTTGTACTAATTGTGAAGTTGTTACCAACCTTGATTTAATGAAGGTTGTTGCTTTTCTTTACATGTTATTAATATGTCAGTGTTGGTCAGTGTTGACATGTTTACATTTCTTGTGCTTCAAAAGGCAGCAGTTTGTTAAAGCATACATAACTGCAATGGTTGTTACCTCAGTTGAAAGCATTAACATAAATTTGGAATTTGTTCTAAAATTATTAATTTTCGATGATAATTAAACACATGCACACGCACACAAACAGAGAGAGAAGGGGGAGGGAAGCATCCACATACACTATTGCAAAATGATAGTAAAGGGTATTTTCAGCAAGTTGGCAGCATTAAAAAAGAAAACAAGAAATAAATTACATAGTTAAGGGCAAATTGTTTCTTAAAAAGCCTAGAAATGCTGGTTTAGAGTCTTTTGTGTGCTTTTCAGTTTCGCTTCAACTCAAAACCAATGAACATACTTTTAAAATATTTATCTTCACCTCTTTTGAAACCCTCTTTTGAAACTTCCTAGTCCTGCCAATGGTGGTTTCAAGTGTGTATTTTTCTCTACCCTTTAATCATGTTTAATCTTTATGCTATTATACCTGACAAAATATACACTAGTTCCACAGTAAGTATTTGGAAAAGGGTTTTCTGGGTTTCCAGCTGTTCATTTGTGGATGAAACCTATTTACTGGTAATAGGTAAAGACCTCTTGGCAATGCCCTGAGAAACTTGGATTGAATTTCTGCAGTTTTGATAACCGATCCATTTCCACATTTTGACTGTTCATCCTTGGTGTTGATATTTTATTCATTTTTTTTTTTACTACGTGTGCCATAAATTCAGCAGCTTTGTCTCACAAGACAGAAAGAATGAAGTGATGATTTTTAAAATGAAAGTTAATGAAAGAAACGATAATCTTTGTTTTTTAAAAGCATTTTTAGCATTGATTGGTGGAGCCATTGAATAACTGACTCAGAATTATGACCTTAGGTTCTTCCAACAACAACAGCAGCTTTAAATCAAAGTTACTACAATTTAAGTCTTTCATTTTTCACAAGACAACCTCATCAGGGTACAAGGCTTTAGGTGTTATAATAGCCCCTACCTGGGAGCACAGTTTTAGCTGTTGTTGCAAGAACCTATGATTACTACAAATATAACTTTGAGTGCATAACACACCTAAGAATTTTTTTTAGTTACGTTTTTTCTATATATTCATGCAATGTCACTCCTTTCAGCTGATGTGTACAGCAGCACCAGTAGCAGTTCAGAATCCCTGAGTTCCAAGTCGTCCAGCAACAACCAATCCAGTCCTTCCATCAACGCTCTGTCTCAGTCTTCACCCCAGCTGGACGTGAGTCGCCGCCCCCACACCCAGCCCCCAATGTATGCTAACACTGCTGCTCTGGCAGACCAAGGTAACTTGTGGCATTGTTTTAGGTGTGATAAGGATTGTGTTAGGTGTGACATTGAAAATGTGTTGGATGTGACATTAGAAATGTGTTAGTTGTGACAGCAAGTGGAAATGATAAGTTCATCGGGTTTATTGACAAATGTGTAAGGTGACAGTGGTGAATGTATTTAATTAGCTATACAAGATGGGTTCGGTGCATTGGTGAATGTGGCAGATAAAATGGTGATGAATGTGCTAGTGGTTCTAGATAAATGTGTTAAAAACCTTGGAGAATGTGTTAGATGTGACAGTGGTAAATTAGCAAATGTGTTAATTCTAGGTAAATGTGTTAGAAACCTTGGTGAATGTGTTAGATGTGGCAGTGTTAAATGTGTTAGTTGTTCTAGATAAATGTGTTAGATACCTTGGTGAGTGGCTGGCTGTGATCATGATATTGGTGCTAGTTTCCCTAGAAGAAATGAGCTACATTGGTGAGTAAGATGATACTGGGTGTGTCAAATACGACTAAAGTGTGCCAGGTGTGATGATAGATGTTACAGTGTAAGTGTGATGGGTGACTGCCTCACCAGTGCAAGCAAGGTAAAATAACACTCTGTTTGTTGTGATTTTTGTTATGCCAAATATATATAATGTTCTGTCCACATTTAGACACAAGGTAAGCTGGAGTGTTTCATCACCATGTTCCAATAGTGAGAATAATGAAATAGCACTTAAATATCCTCTGCATGTAATATTTAAGCAGAGAAATGTCAATTCACTTCTTTTCTACGTTTTCATCCTTTGTCAAAAATAACAAAATTCCCTTCATTAGCCCACTTTAATTTTCTTTGATCTTCTGTGAATGTTTTTGATATTATATTTTGATTTTAAAGTTATTTAAAAAGCTTTTGTATAAATCAAGATATGAAGTCCCAATAGGTGCTTTTCTTGGCACATTATTTTATGTTCATTTATTAATTACATAAAAAAATCTGCTGTTGCTACTAGTCTGTTGATATTTCTTCCCAAAAACCACTTGAGATCAGAGATCAAAAAGCATTCCCCATTTTCTTCCTATTAACCACAGTATTTGTTAAAAGGCTACCTGTCTTTAAACCCTTGGTTTTGATTTTCATGTTGTGTGATTATATTTTCTGTCTCTGTGGAATGGAATCTTATCTAACCTAATTGTGTTTTCTGTTCAGGTAGATTTTGATGCTTTCAAAATTATCTGGACATATTTTAATTTTTTATTCTCTTTTCAAAAAATTTTTTTTATTTTTTCTATATTATGTTTTTAGCGTATCTTTTTTATAATAGAGGAAATGTTTTTGCACCAAAATGCTTGTAAAGATGTTTAGTGAATTGAATAGATGAAATACTTGTAATTCATTGTCTTGAGCTTTCTGGTGTACAAAAAGATAAAATAAAAGACAAATGGGCCTTACTAAGTATTAAAAAAAAAAGCATTGTAGCTTTTAAAATTTATGTATCTAAAATTATTGGGATGCTTGAAAATAAAACCATATCCTAATAAATGCTACAAAAACTTAAAGGTATATAAAGGAAGAAAACTTGTTCAATATTAGTCAGTTATGAACAATGTTTTCAGATGTTGGTTTTATTGTAATGTTTACTAGAGTAGTATCTCTCAAGTTCTGCTTCTAGTAGTAATGGAGGTTTCATATCTTGAAGTGGCTATTTAATAACGGACCCTTCATTTCTAGTAGTCTAGATATAGTTAGTAGACGGAAACCATATTGAAACTTAAACAAATAGATACTGCTGCCTTCTGTTAGGAGTTATGAATTATTAACAAGGGTGTAAAAGGATATGATTAAAATTCTTTATCTAATGGTGTTCATTTATAGTATTATTATCTGTTTGATCATGTATACTTTTCATGGTAGCATTTATTGTCTGGAATTATTTGTAAGTGTTATTTGTCTAAGTGTGGAACTTCTTCTGTTTTGTCCAGTAAGTTTCCTCATTTCCTGCCATCTTGTTTGACCAGTTGTAGCATGCTGACCAGTATGTCTTGTGCAAATTTATGATGTCCCACATCAAAACGAAGAAAAAAAATTGTTATTTTATAAGTTGTTTATTTATTTATTTGTTTGTTTATTTTATTCATTTATTTGCTTATTTAAATTTAAATTGACTTGCCTATTATGTTTATAATTTATTTACTTTTGGTAAACAATTTTGAAGAAACATTCAATTATTTCCTAAATAGTAGCTTACTGTTATATGATATATTTATCTTCTGGTTTTCTGTTAGTAGTTTATTATAACATTCTATTTAAGCTAAATGTACTAACACGTCTCTTGAATAATGTTGAAAAATGTCATGAAACCAGAATGTCTCATGCTGTTTCTTCTTTGACCTGCATCTGTCAGCAAGATGATTATGAAACTAATTTTACAAAATAGGCTCTACTACAACTTTATTTCTGTTTTGGTAGTTAATTTTAAAATTGAATTTGAAAAGCTCATATAAGTTATGTGTTTACGTATTTGCATTAATTTGACAAGTTTGAGCCTCGTAAAAAAATTTGCATTAACTGTCATTTTCTCCAAATACATAACTTCCATGCACTACTTGAAGAAAACTGAACACTTGAAGAAAGTGAAAGCAAAACGTAACCTGCAGCACTGCTCCATAATTTACAAGTTCATATTAAATGATTTAACACCTAGAAGTTCACTGCTTATTAATTTGATTGTCAGTTTTCGTCATCATTGAGTTGTATTTATTGTTACTTTGGCACACCTATATTAACTAGTGTGTTTTCTGCATGCTTCTTCCATGCTAGGAGGCCTTCTGAGTCCAAAAGACATAATGAGGCTGGATCAGCCGCCCCAGTTGAGGCGGGAAGATGGTTACCATAACAACAGTTACCATAACAACGAGGCCCGGCCTAAAAGTGCCACTTTTGATCTCTTCCTATCGCACACTACCTTGCTTTGTTAGTATCATTGTTTGTTTTGATTTGCTTTGCTTTAAGTCTTAAGTCATCTTTTAACTTTTTTTACTTTAAAATTTTTACATATTACGAAGTTTCTACTAGATAATTTTATTGTAATTTAAAATGTGTTCTAATTTATTTCCTTATAAGATATTAGCAATGAAATATTTGAATGAGGTTATAATTATTTTGAGTCAAATTGGAGAATTTGATGTGTAGGGATCAGGTATTTGAAGTAGTTAAGTAGTTAGAACTGGGGGGTTATTTTAGCATTGTAGTATTAACTTATTATAAAAATTTATTAAAGCATGAAAGTAGCTGCTTGATGTTCTTTAATATATCGTATGCCATGATTTATAGGAACAATTATTCCAATAGCCTAGGGCATTTGGGCTGATAAAATTAATAATTTAGATTTGTATATAATGTTACTGTAGAAGCAGCATGCGGACAAAAAAAGGCTGGTTCTTGTTTGGTTTTAGTGCATATGTTTACTCTGTGGCTTTTATTTAATCATTATTTGCCAATATTAACTGCCCTAAAGACATAAAAACAAAAATGCTATTTGAAGGGAATGATTGAGAAAGAAACAACATTCTGCAAAATGTATAGATTAAAATATTATCATAAGCTTCATAGACAGTGACATTGATATGCACTTGCCAGATTTGCAAAAATACCAGATAATTACTAAGAACGAAATTACTGCAAAGAAAGTATTTCTTGTGTGGAACTATATCTGCAGCTTCTCAAGTTAATGCTAAAATAAGATGACAGTCAGTGCAAAAAGAAACATAATGCATCATAAATTAAGAAGTTAGCATTAGACTGGTAAAGCATATATCTTTACCCATTGTTTATACTGACTACATATGCTTGCATTGGCAGCAATAGGGATGGATCTTGCTTTTACGTTGCTTTCATTGTCGCCTATGCTTTTCATCTATTTTTCTCTTTCAAACTGCCTTATATAGGATCAGCATTTTCCCCATCAAAGAATTCCTACACGATTTAGATGATTTTCATTGTACCACCAGCGTAGGCGCTGGCGGTACCCATGGTTTTAGTCCCGACCCGTATGTTCCGCCGGCTCCGCCGGCTCCTGCGGCTCCTGCGGCTCCGCCGGCTCCGCCGCCAAGTCACTGTTACCGCTTCTCCTCCTAGACGGTAAGGGCCCCTGTACCCATCTCTTGGATTTAGGTCACCTATAATCTCAACTCGTTCCACGTAAAATTTGGGCTTTGTCGGTATTGGGGTCTAGGTGTGGCACTCATTGCAATGCACCCTTGTCTAAAAATGGCAAAATTAAATGCTAATTATCTACCCTACGGAAGGAGTTATGGGAAAAATTTCTACAGACAGCTTTCCAAAAGTCATATGTGTAGATTTCAAATATGCCCTTGGATTTGACCTTTGACCTTTATTTCAAGGTCAAACGGGCCAAAATTTTCAAAAAAATGAAATTTTTTACGAAAAAAATTTTTTTTGCCCTGTTATTCAGACACCACACAGACTTAACCAATAATATTATTGGAAAGTGTTACCCTTC